ATAGATAGATAGATAGATAGATAGATAGACATATAGCTAACCAATCGTGTAATCTGTACTCAGGCCATTTACTACTAGCGGGTTACTTCCACTCGGGTGAATAGTAATAGTAGTAAAAAACACAGCTCATCCATCTACTGCTCTGCTTCATTTTCCTCCTCTCACGACTCTCTCTCTCTCTCTCCCTCTCTCTCAGCATCCACCCCTCTCTCTCTCTCTCCCCCTCCCTCTCTCCCTCTGTCTTTCTCTGCATCCCTGGGCGGTATAAGGGCGGCACTAACAGCAGCATCGGTATCAAACCCTGTATCCAGCGCTGCGGTTCCCTAAACAATCGCTCGCTAGGCCCGAGACAGAAAATAAGAGCAGACGGCCCTGTGTGTGTTCGCGTGTGTGTGTGTGTGTGTTTGATTGTGTGTGTGTGAAAATAATTGAATAAGCCTCCATCCCAAGGCTCGGAGTCGCTGACATTGACGGCGAATAATGCAGGGGCTTTGATTTACCGATGGCAGCATCCAGGAGATCCATCCATGATCAAAGGCTACTCACTGTTTGGCAGCTTGTAAGATGGCAGCTTCAGTAGACCATGGTGCTCCCTGTGTCACACTGCTGCTGCTGCGGCAGCGGCGGAGGCGGCGGCGCTCCTGCTCGGCCCTGACTCCCACCTAATCCTGCGACGGTACCGCGGCTCGCAAATATCTGGGATGCTGTGTGGTCGACTGCTGTCAGCGTCGGATGCTGATGATGGAGTCTGTAGGTGGGTACGGGCATCAGCTGAGAGACACACCCACCCACCTCTGGCCCCGCCCCTCCGGCTAAAGGGATACAAACGCCCCCTTTTGGCTTTTTTATCCCTTGGCGTTTGTAGCCAGTGCTGCCTCCTAGGAAAAGCCTATAGAGTTACGTACAACTTCATGTAGGTTGGAAAAATGGATGAAGGATGAATCACCAGGACAATTGATATGTTATTAGAACGCTGATTCAAATTATGCCAGTCCTCTACCTTATTTTGGCGGCTACCCCTAGGGGTTGCCACAGAGAATCATTTGCCCCCATTTCAACCCCAGTCTGGATCCTCTTGCAGATATCCTTCATCTGCCACAGCAGGTTCCTTTAATTAAATAAAACATCCCATAATTTAGAGCATGTGAATAAGAGGGTTCATGTGAAGCAAAAGTAGTGTTTTGTATGTTTTCACCATGTATTGTTCACTTTATAGATTTAATGTACTGGATGTGTTGCCCTTTTTGGTGACATGTATTTCATTGTCCACTAGAGGACAGAAGTAAACAAAGTTAGACGAAAGCTACAGGCGGTTTAAAACCTTTCACCACTACTGTCACCACTTTCTGTTTATTCTTGTTTGAATTCATGATTAGAAAATTATGTTTATGTACAACACATTCCAAAATAACATGTGTTATGGCATGTTATTTATTTCATGTTGTTACAGTCTCACTGATAGCAAGTTCTGTTGTAGGCCTGTGTTGTGTTACTTCAGTAACTGGTGACTCTTTAATATTGATCTTTTTTTATATGCTGTGCTGTATACACAAATGGCACAGGGATATTCCAAGATAAAAAAATAAAAAAAACAGAACAATGAATGCATCGGTTCCACATTTTCATTTGACTGACCAGACCTTAACACCGGGACGAAACCTTAAAATTTACTGGTCAAGCTCTCAGATCTTGTCACATGGCATAACTCAAGTGAATCGAAGTCAAACAAAACATTTAGAAAAGTGAACATTTGACCAGAAGTTCCATCACAGCAGCATTTATTTCAAACAAATCACACCTTAATGCCTTTATGACCACATTAATTCCTTTTTCTGCTGTGAATGTAGCACATGAAAGACATTAGTTCTGCCTGCATGTGATTTCTTGTCCAAGCATAGTGTTGGACGTTAAAGACAGACCACATGCTGTGTGTCCTTTAACTGCAGTAGCCAAACCTTTTTCTTCAATTTCAGTTAGTATAATTCTGGCCATCAGGGAAAATTTCAGCAATGGCAACTATAGGAAAAGGATTCTGTATCATCACAGGAGCTTCCAAAGGGTTTGGTCGTGCAATAGCATGTGAGGTAAGTAAAAATGGAAGAAAAAGAGCAGAAAAAATACATTATGAAAAAAGAAAATTTTTTGTGTTGTTCCAGTTGTGTCGTTTGTTGGAGCCCGGCTCTGTCCTCTTGTTGGTGGCTCGCTCAGGGATTTTACTGCAGGAGTTGAAGGAAGAGCTCCGCAGGCTCACTGACAGACGGCAGCTGGTGGTTCACTGTGTTACTGCAGATCTGGGCTCAAGAGAAGGGCTGGAGGAAACAGTGAGGACAGCAAAGCACGAGGCCTTGGCTGATTTTAATCATGTCCTCCTCATTAACAATGCTGGTAGGTTTCAAATATAGAATACAGATATATTCATTTGTTTAATGGAAAAAATATTGAATTAATTTTTCCCACATCCTTTGTTTTTATTTTTGTTTGTTTTTTTTCTCCTCACAGGCTCCTTGGGTAATATTTCCAGATTTGACACGTTCAGTGATATCAACGCAGTGAATTCATATCTGTCCCTCAATG